GTTAGTAAATATCAATTACACTACAATGAAGTCATTTTCAAATCTAAAAAGTCAAAATGAGTGTATCCTAATCTAACCATAATATCCTTATTTTGAAAATCAAAAGATATTTTAATAATTTAACATTCAGTATATAAATGTTGAGGGCCTCAATCACAGATATTGAAACACATCAATTAGCTGACCAAGAGTACTTGCCTATTTGGACAATACTGGCGTGCATTAGGACACTCCATCTATATCAGATGTTTTTATTGATGGACACATGTCACACCAAATAGGATATGATTTATCTTGCAACCAGAACTAAAATGTTAATTTAATCTGACTATATAGATCAAGATCAAGTTACAGATCAACATTGGAGAAGACACATCCTTAATACTTACAGGTCAAATAAAGAATAAATAATACGATTATTCCGGATTGCATGCCTGTTCTAAAATATCTCATGTATACTGTAAATGTACACGCTTACCATGTACCCACAAAAACAAAAAATAAAGTGAATAATTATTTTAAAACCACTAATATTAATGCTTGGCTAATTTAGATGAGGTTTTTTTTGTCTCTTTTTTCTGATTTCTATAGTATACAACAATTGCTATTACTCTTAACAAAGAAATCCCAAAGAGACATCCAAGGTAAATTATTTCTATGATTCCTGTTTTGCTGAGACATAGAATAGGAAAATTACACCCAAGGGACCACTTCAGTTGGTGAATATATGTCAGGCTGAGAGAAAGCACTACCACAAATATTGTTTCTACTCAGCAGTGGACATCATCTCAAACACACATCAGAAGAAAACACAAAAAAGACATTGATCTAAGAGAAAATTTGTGTAAGTCATTTCATCTTTCCAATTCTTTTTCTTTTTTTTTTTTTTTTTAAGAAACTAAGTCTTGGCCGGGCGCGGTGGCTCACGCCTGTAATCCCAGCACTTTGGGAGGCCCAGGCGGGTGGATCACGAGGTCAAGAAATCAAGACCATCCTGGTCAACATGGTGAAACCCCGTCTCTACTAAAAATACAAAAAATTAGCTGGGCATGGTGGCACGTGCCTGTAATCCTAGCTACTCAGGAGGTTGAGGCAGGAGAATTGCCTGAACCCAGGAGACGGAGGTTGCGGTGAGCCGAGATCGCGCCTTTGCACTCCAGCCTGGGTAATAAGAGCGAAACTCCGTCTAAAAAAAAAAAAAAAAAAAAAAAGAAACTAAGTCTTAAAATATTTTTATGTATCCGTTTCATGCATGCCCACAATGCTTGGAGTTGAGAATGAATTTTTTAGCTTTTGATATTTTCCGAAGATAATTCACAGGCTTTCTCTTCCTGTCATATTCTTACCAGAATTTCCATGGTGTCTTCAACAGCAGTGCACCCATCGACATAATGCACTGCCTGTGAGATGCTCTCATGTCTGCTTTTGAAAATCTCAGTTCTTTGCTGGCTACTCTGAGAAGCTTCCAGGGATCCTTTTCAACTGATTCCTCCTATTTAAGAGAATAAAGTTTTTCATATTAGAGAGACAGTGTAGTGTGTAAGATAACTTTTAGCATAGAGATAGAAGTAAAAAGTGCTAAACATTGAATAAGTGAAATTAGTGCAGATATGGAAGAAAACTCTGCAGTTACTTCTTCCGCTGAAATCTGGAACCCTTCAAAGTCATCCATGAGAACCGAAACTCTTAAATGTAATTAACAGAATCTTCTATGTCCTCTTCTAGGTCTTTTTATCATATTAATAACCCCTGTTTGGAAAGGAAGATTAAGGGTGAAAAAACTGTTACATTCCTGGAAAACAAGAGACATGTCTGATATGTTCTTTACATCTGTATATCCTATAGGGTTGTTGGGTATCGGTATGTTAATTTAGAGAAAATGTAAATGGAAGATATTTTAAAGAGAGTTTATCATATGTATTTTGCTTATAGAAAGTGCTCAGCTGTGCAATAAATTTGTTGCCAAAAAGCTTTGCAAACTGCTGCTTTAAAATCAAACTTAATGAATAGATAGGAAATAATATTTATGTAACAATTGTTGTATACTAAGAGAGTTTCTGTGGTTTGTATACTTCCTGATTCATCTCCACAGCAAATCTATTAGATGAGTGTCCTCCTTTTACAGATGAGGAAATTGACACAGAAGTTGGTTTAGCTCAATGTCACAGGGTTAAGTAGTTATAGAGTAAGATTTCAGATGAAGTCTGACCAAAAAGTATATGGCTGTTCAACTAATTCAGCTAAATTTTGGTTAATATAAATAGAGTATCAGAGTTCATTAATATGAAAAGTTAACAATTTCAAAACTGATAAAGAAAGCAGCATTATTTCTTAATGAAGAACTGTTCGCTAGGAATGTACATGTTCATTTTTTAAGCAAATTCCTCTCTTGGATGCAGCTGGAGTCCTGATTCCTCTATTAGCTATCTTCTCTGTCACTTATTCAACAGGTACAGAATGAATTACTGAAAACTTATCTGAAAAAGTCTGTTGCTGATAAGATAAAGAGTTTCAAGAAGGAACGTCAGAGTGTTCAAGTTTCTCAGGAAGCGAGAATTTATAGGGAATATCAGAATATTTTCATTATAAATTAGGTTAATCTATTATGGATATATATCTGTTTGTAAATTGTTACGCTATTATCATATGTCTCTTTACCCATAGCAAACAAACGCGATACCTAATTTCCTTTAGGAGAATTTTCTTTCTTGTTGTCCTTAATTTATGTCTCTGAGTCCTCAGAAAAAGGGAAAAGGAAACTAGTGCTCATGATGCAGTAATGTTTTTCCTTCCTTACCTGTGCTCATTAGTACCATCTTAGAGATTTCAAAGGATAAAAGAACATAAAACATACAAAAACTGAAACAATGCCAAATGGAGTGAAATAATAAATAGTGAAGGAAAATGGGTAATTATCTTTCCACCATCCAACTTGAGAGTCATTGTCACTTAGTTATCAATGTAAGCAATATCACTACTGTATTTAAAGATTAATAATCAATAATTGCTTAAGTTTTAACCTCAGGTCCCTTTAGCACTAAACTCAAAAATATAGTTTGCTTACACATGTATGTAATCTATTCTCATCTTACAAATGTAGATTAAGTTTCTATGCTTGCTAATCAAGAAATGTTAATATTTCAAAGCATAGAAATTTCTCAGCATACTTTCATATATTTGAAGGTAAATATTTTCTGTTGATAAGCTTAAGTTATAAAGACTCTTCAAAATTCATCAGTTGAGTTTCTGAGGCTGATTGCCTTTGAGGTCATTTAATCTTTTTCTAGACGGGACTCCACTGACATTTTGTAAATCAACTTTTTTTACTAAATAAGTTCTATTATATTGTAGATTTAAATTAATGATCAATTATGTGCCTAGTTTTGCATGCAAATTATTATGCCAAGATATTTAGTATATGGTTTTCTATGTAGCTTGTCTCCTGAAGGTTATTCCACCACATATTTTAGAAAGGTAAGATACAAATTTAACTTTATAATGTCTTATAGAAAAGGTTCAACTGAGGATTGAATAAACCATTATACATAGCACAGATATTGTGGATTCAGTTCCAGCCCATTGCAACTAAGTGAATCAGAGGAATTTTTTGGTTACCCAGTGCTTATAAAATTGTGTTAATACTATCCTGTAGTCTAATAAGCGTGTGATAGCACTATGTCTAAAAAATATACCTTAATTTGAAAATACTTTATTGCAAAAAAAATGCTAACAGTTATCCAATCCTTCAATAAGTTGTCATATTTTTGCTGGTGGAGGGTCTTGTCTCAGAGTTAATGACTTCTAACTAATCATGATGGTTGTTGCTGAAGGTTGGGAGCCTGTGTCTTTATAACAGAATGATTTATAATCCTTTGGATATATACCCAGTAATGGGATTGCTGGGTCAAATGGCATTTCTATTTCTAGATCCTCGAGGAATTGTCACACTGTCCTCCACAATGGTTGAACTAATTTACTCTCCCACCAACAATGTAAAAGTGTTTCTATTTCTCCACATCCTCTCCAGCATCTGTTGTCTCCAGATTTTTTAATGATCACCATTCTAACTGGTGTGAAGTAGCTAGAGAATTATTAATTGGCCTGATTTCAACGTTGTTGTGTCTCAGGGAATAGCAAGGCCTAAAGAGAGAAAGAGAGAGGGAGCAAAATAGCCAGTTGGTGGAGCAGTCACAATACACACAACACTTATCAACCAAGTCTTATATAGGCACGGTTTGCAGTGCCCCCAAAATAATTACAAGAGTAACATCAAAGACCATTGATCACAGATCCCCATAGCAGACAATATAATACTATAAAAGTTTGAAATATTGTAAGAATTACCAAAACGTGACACAAAGACACAAAGTGAGCACATGCTATTGGAAACATGATGCCAAAAGACTTGCTTTACACAGGGTTGCCACAGACAGTGAATTTGTGGGGAAAAAAAAAAAAAAAAAAAGCAATATCTGAAAAAGGCAATAAAATGAAATTTAATAAAATAATGTCTGTACAGAGAATCTGTATTGTATATTATGTCATTTGTATTGAATTTCAGTATCAGTTTATATTCACCTTCCTAAGTGGTTGACCTAATCATAATTATTTACCATAATAATTGTGATTGATGCTCCACCTACATTCTTTTCACTGTGTTAGTGGACTGAGGCTAATTGAGGTGATACCACGATCTTTTTAAATCTTACTCGCAGTTCTGATTTCCTCACTCCTTTCTAGCCTCTCAGTAAAGCATTTGCATAACTATCTCATCTCAGGCTCTGTTTCTTGGAAAGCCAATCTTAGGCAGTCAGCTTCTCTTTTGATCATAATACAATATATATATATGGCCAACATTTCTTTCACAATTATGCTTTTCACTCTCAAATATGGGTGCTAAATTTCAACGTGGACACCAAATTTCAAAAATTTAAGACCCTTTCTCATCCCTAACTAATAATCTATTTTTCTATCTTCATAATTTTAGAAGACACGTTGAAAAAATGGATGAAGGAAATCAGTCTGTAATGTCAGAATTTGTGCTTCTGGGACTTTGCCACTCATGGAATATTCAGGTCTTACTGGTAATGATATTTTCAGTGTTTTACCTGATCATTGTTTCTGGAAATATTGTCATCATGGTGTTAATCATCACCGATTCCCATCTCCATTCCCCCATGTACTTCTTATTGGCCAATCTGTCCTTTGTTGATATGTGGCTTTCTTCAATTACCATTCCTAAGATGATAGCAGACTTTCTCAAGGAAAGCAAGACTATTTCCTTTGAAGGCTGCATGTCCCAGATCTTCTTTGCTCACTTTATTGCAGGGTTTGAGATGGTGCTACTGGCGGTAATGGCCTATGACCGCTATGTGGCAATCTGCAAACCACTCCGGTACTCCACCATTATGAGCCTACGAATGTGCATTCGGTTGGTGGTGACTTCCTGGATCACTGGCTTTGTTCATTCCATGAGCCAAATAGTTATGATTGTTCCGCTGCCTTTCTGTGGTCCCAAGGAAATAGACAGCTTCTTCTGTGATAGACCACTGGTAATCAAGCTTGCCTGCATGGATACCTATAGTTTAGACATTTTAATGAACCTTGACTGTGGGGTTTTGGCTGTAACATGCTTTATTCTAGTACTGACATCCTATACATATATTCTTCTCACTGTCCACCGAAGCTGTAAAAGTGGGGCTTCTAAGGCACTCTCTACCTGCACTGCCCACATCACAGTGGTGGTGCTTTTATTTGGGCCCTCCATCTTCATCTATGTGTGGCCACTTAGCATCACCTGGGTGAACAAATTTCTTGCTGTGTTTTACTATGTTTTTACACCTCTCCTAAATCCAGCCATTTATACCCTGAGAAATAAAAAAATAAAAAATGCTTTGAAGAGGTTCAGAAGCTACTACTTAGAATGCAAGGGAAATAGGTAATACTGAGAAGCCTAAAGATCCTTCATTATGGAAGGAATTATCCAATCAGTCTTCCTCTGCCTTTAACTATGTTTAATTGAATTTTTTTTTTTAACAAAAGCATGCCTCCATCCTGCTGAATAGCATCTTAATAAATGTATCTTGAATTTTCTCCTAATTTCATTTGGAAGAAAAATGTTTCTGCAACATTGGTACCTTCAAAATATTCACTCACATATGGTCAAAAAGCAATGAAATAGTTTTTTCCTTAACCTAGCATCCTATCCAAATACTAATGGGAAAAAGCAACAGAAAAAAATAAACAGAAGATAAAAGAGATTACTTTTTCTTAGATTTCACTAACTCAATGAATGTTTTTTAAAAATTAAAATTTAATGCTATTTCTCTCAGTTGTCTCTGTCTCAATAACTAACATTTATTCTTTAGATGTATTCAGTGTAAACTTATGAAATGTAATCTTCCTGAGACCCAGGATCATGTCTTACATGGTTAATTATGAAACTGCAATGTTTAATATACTACTGTGATTAATACATACTAGATAGTAATCATATTTTAATAAATTATTAGAGGTCAATTATTCTTTTAAAATATTCATAATATTTGTTTTTCCAGGTGTAAATATACTCTTTTGGCATTAAAAAGAATTCCTAAAGTTTCAAATCGTAAATTATATTTATTTTCTGTCTCTAGAATTAGTAATTAAGTCAACTGAAATACAGTTGTAAGAATCAACAGCAAGAGGCCTAAAACATAAGTATGGGGCATATTCAGTTTTTACTAATTTTAAAACGGAATCAAAGTACAAAACAGAGTGGTACTGTAAAAATAAAATTATTATGCTTGACTGCCAACTCTATGTCATCAGGTTAATGTATTACCTTAAGTACTTTTATTGTTATCTCCAAATTTTGAGTGAGTATATGAGACTTAAAAATGTGAGTTGAATCTTCTCAAAGTAGGACATCTTTATTTCTTCTTTGTTTAAAGTATTTTGAGATAAATTTTATTTTAAATACTGCTCATTTATTAAACAACACTACACAGGGCAAGAGAAAATTTCCACCAGTCAGAATGGCTATTATGAAAAACTGAAAAACAACATAGGCTGACAAGTTTGCAGAGAAAAGGGAATGCTTATACACTTCTGGTGAGACTGTAAATTAGTTCAACCATTGTGGAAGGCAATGTGTTGATTCCTCAAAGAACTTGAAATGCAATTACAATTCAACCCAGCAATCCCATTATTGGGTAGTAACCAAAAGAATAAAAATTGTTCTGCCGTAAATACACATGCATGCCTATATTCACTATTTACAACAGGAAAGCCATGGAATCAACCTAAAAGCTCACCAATGGTAGACAGAGTAAAGAAAATGTGGTACATATACACAGTGAAATACTACACAGCTATGAAAAAGAATGAGATCATGTTTTTTGCAGCAACATAGGTGGAGCTGGAGGCCATTATCTAAGCAAACTAATGCAGGAATAGAAAACCAAATATCATATGTTCTCATTTATAAGTGGGAACTAAACAATGAGAACACATGGCAAAGAGGGGAATGGCAGACATAGGCCTGGCCTACTTGAGGGAGGAGGACTGGAGAAGAGAGGGTATCAGAAAATAAACCTATTGGGTACTATGCCCATTACCTGGGTGATGAAATAATCTGCACTTCCAACACCCATGACACACACTTTATTGATACAACAAACCTGCACATGTACCGCTGGACCTAAAATAAAAGTTACAATTTGAGAAAGTAAAATGTATTTCTCACAAAGACAGTAATACATACCTAGAACAAAATACCAGAATAGCTCTATTACTCTAACAAATGAAAAATAACTATTGAGATTGACATAAATTACAGCTCTAGTGTGATCATGCAGTATAAATTATCTAAATTGTACACCTCAGACCATGACTGCATGTAAAGTGTTAAAGAACTAACAGTCTTTTTAACATAGCCATTATGACTGGTGTGAGATGGTATCTGAGTATGATTTTGATTTGCCTTTCTCTGATGATTAGTGATGCTGAACAATTACTTCATAGGTTTGTTGATCACTTAAAAGGTCAAAAAACAACAGATGCTGGTGAAGCTTCAGAGAAAAGAGAAAACTCATCCACTGTTTGTGGGAATGCAAATTAGTCTAGCCACTGCGAAAAGCAGTCTGTAGATTTCTCAAAGAACTTAAAACAGAGCTACCATTCAACTCAGCAATCCCATTACTGGGTATATACCTAAAGGAAAATAAATCATTCTACCAAAAAGACACATACGCTCGTATCTTTATCAGTGTTCTATTCACAATAACAAAGACATGAAATCATCTACCAGATGCCCATCATTGGTAGATTAGATAAAGATAATGTGGTCATATGTACCAAGGAACACTATGCAGCCATAAAAAAGAATTAAATCATGCCCTTTGCAGCGACATAATCCTAAGTGAATTAATGCAAGAGCAGAAAAATAAACAGTGCTTGTTCTCACTTTTAAGTGGGAGCTACACATTGAAGATACTGGATATAAACACAGAAACGATAGACACTGGGGACCATCAGAGGGAGGAAAGAGGAATGGCAGCCATGGGTTGAAAAATAACCACCAGATACTATGCTCACTGTCTGAATAACAGGGTCCATACTCCAAACCTTGTGATCATGCAGTCTTCTCATATAATAAACATACTTACACATGTACCCTCTCTATCTAAAATAAAAGTTAAAAGTTATAAAAAAAAGAACAGTTATCTGTTAGTCTCAGTCACAGGCTGTAGAGTCAATTGATCCTCATGGGTACACAAACTTGCCATGGCAGTTAAACCACTATGCTTTAAGTAACATTTTACTACTCATAATGTTGAGTATATTTACATCTCTATATATCCTTAGAAGGTAAACCTGAGTGTTAAATACTCTCTGTATGGATTTCCTAAATATTCTGAAAGGTCATAAGAAAAAAAAAACCACAGCTTGTATTGTTTTGCTATAAAATCTGTCACAACAAAATTTTAGTCACCTTCTATGCAATTAGAGCTTAGTGTTTATACATTAAGTAGAGGAGGATCCACCTCAGTTCCCACTGATTTCTATTAATATTACTATCGTCTTCACAGATGCCAATCTAGAGGATTTGTAGTTATGCACATTTTCTAGACAAAATGTAAATGTCAAATACTCAGTCTTAATTTCCTATTTAATGAAAATATCTTCTACTCTAGTGGAGGCATTTCTTTCTTAGCCACCTTACTTCCAACACAACAGAGCTCAAGGTTGTGAGAAAAGAAGGCAGAAATTTTGTGAGTAATTAGGTATAAAACTAAGAGGGGCTACTTCCATTCCCATATCTTCCTTTCCAAATACAGAGAATGAAGATCTTATTTCTCATGAGAGCAATATTTGAGCCTACACTATGCCATTCCACCATTCTATTAGACCAGCTGTGTACGGGAGTTTATGTATGTGGTGTTAAGACCAGGTAATCCCATGGTTATTACGTCATTATTTCATTTGTTTTCACATATAATAAGTAGTTATTTTTATTTTTAATTTATTTTTATTTTATTTTTTTTTTGAGGCAGGTTCTCACTCTATCTCACAGGCCAGAGTGCAGTGGCATGATCTCTGCTCACTGAACCTCCGCCTTCTGGAGAGGCTCAAGCCATCCTCCCATCTGAGCCTCTTGAGTGGCTAGGATTACAGTTGCACACCACCAAGCCCAGCTAATTTTTGTTTTTTTCATTGGGGGTTGGTTTGAGGTTAGAGACAGGGTTTCGCTGTGTTTCCCAGGCTGGTCTCAAACTCCTGGGCTTAAGTGATACACCCACCCTGACCTCCCAAAGTGCTGGGATGACAGGCATGAGCCTCTGTACCTGGCCATTTAGTATAAAATAAATCTCTTGATCAACAGCAATCTTCTATAGAATACCATTATGGTGAATAGGCTGATATGGTTTGATTCTGTGTCCTTATCCAAATATGACCCTGAATTATAATAATCCCTAATTGTTGTGGGAGATACCTGGTGGGAGGCAACTGAATCATGGGGGTGAGTTTTTCCTGTGCTGTTCTCATGATAGTGAATATGTCTTAAAAAATATGATGGTTTTATAAAGGTGAGTTCTCCTCTACATGCTATCTTGTCTGTGGCCCTGTAAGTCATGCCTTTGCTCTTTCTTTGCCTTCCACCATGACTGTGAGGCCTCTCCAGCCATGTGGAACTGTGAGTCCATTAAAGTTCTTTTCTTCTTCTTTTTTAAAAAATATATTTTTATTGTTCTTTAAGTTCTGGGGTAAATGTGCAGATCTTGCAGGATTGTTACATAAGTATACACATGCCATGGTGGTTTGCTGCCTCCATCCCCCCATCACCTACATTAGGTATTTCTCCCAATGTTATCCCTCCTCAATCTCCCTACCCCCTGCTATCTTTCCCCTAGTCCCTGGTCCCCCAACAGACCTCAGTTTGTGATGTTCCCTCCCTGTGTCTATGTGTTCTCATTGTTCAACACCCACCTATAAGTGAGAACATGTGGTGTTTGGTTTTCTGTTCTTGTGTCAGTTTGCTGAGAATGATGGTTTCCAGATTTTTTTATGGCAGCATAGTATTTCATGGTGTATATGTGCCACATTTTCTTTATCCAGTCTATCCTTGATGGGCATTTGGGTTGGTTCCAAGTCTTTGCTACTGTAAACAGTGCTGCAATGAACATTCATGTGCATGTGTCTTTATAATAGAACAATTTATAATCCTTTAGGAATATACATAGTAATGGGATTGCTCGGTCAAATGGAATTTCTATTTCTAGATACTTGAGGAATTGCCACACTGCTTTCCACAATAGTTGGACTAATTTACACTCCCACTGACAGCATAAAAGTGTTCCTATTTCTCCACATCCTCTCCAGCATTTGTTGTCTCCAGATTTTTTAATGATCGCCATTCTAATTGGTGTGAGATGGGATCTCAATGTGGTTTTGATTTGCATTTCTCTAATGACTGGTGATAATGAGCATCATTTCATATGTTTGTTGGCTGCATAAACGTCTTCTTCAGAAAAGTGTCTGTTTATATCAAAATCTACTACAAGACTACAGTAATCAAAACAGCATGGTACTGGTACCAAAACAAAGATATAGACCAATGGAACAGAACAAAGTCCTCAGAAGTAACACCACACATCTACAACCATCTGATCTTTGACAAACATGACAAAAACAAGCAATGTGGAAAGGATTCCCTGTTTAATAAATGGTGTTGGGAAAACTGGCTAGCCATAGGCAGAAAACTGAAACTGGACCCCTTCCTTATACCTTATACAAAAATTAACTCCAGATGGATTAAATATTTAAACATAAGAATTAACAACCTAAAAATCCTAGAAGAAAACCTAGGCAATACCATTCAGGACATAGGCATAGGCAAGGACTTAATGACTAAAACACCAAAAGCAATGGCAACAAAAGGCAAAATAGACAAATGGGATCTAATTAAACTTAAGAGCTTCTGCAGAGCAAAAGAAACAGTCACTAGAGTGAACCAGCAACCAACAGAATGGAAAAAAAATTTTTGCAATCTAGCCATCTGGCAAAGAACTAATAATATCCAGAATCTACAAAGAACTAAAACAAATTCACAAGAAAAAAACAACCCCATCAAAAAGTATGTGAAAGTTATTTTCTTTATAAATTTCACACTGTAAGATATGTCTTTATTAGCAGAATGAGAACAGACTAATACAGTAAGTTGGTACGAGGTAGTGGGGCACTTGTGTAAAGATAGCCAAAAATGTGAAATCGACTTTAGAATTGGGTAATGGGTAGAGGTTGGAACTGTTTGGAGGACTCAGAAGAAGACAGAAACATGTGGGAAAGTTTGGCACTCCCTAGAGACTTGGA